TTCGCCTCCAAGACCTTGAACAGATACTCCAAGGCCCTGCACGAACATCGCACAACGCTTGCCTACCCGCCACCAACAGACCCAGGGCGGCAATCATCAGGACGCGAAGACACGGGGGAGGCCTCCACATTCCAGTCATCAACCACCGCGGCGATTGCTTCTTCCTGGACCACCATTGGCCACAAAGGCCGCAGCTGACACCTCACTACCAGAACGTCCTCGGGCACAAGAGCGAGCACGAGGCGAACCAGGGACAGGCTGGGCAGGGAGGGCACGGAAAATCAAAGCCGTCCCACACCACCCCGTGGAACAAGGTAAGAGAACTCGCCGAAAGCGACCCAGCAGTTCTGGCATTGGCCACGCTTTGCAAGGGTCACCGAGAGAAGGAATGGAACGACCTAAAGCAGATCCACAGCGCGCACACCAAGCAGGTCGCCCAGGCCAGGGGCTTCGAAGTAGAGAAGCGCACCGCAGCTTACAGCGACGGAGATGGCGAACGGAGCGAACATGGACTTCGCGCACCTCGGCACCGCGCCAGACTACAAGGCCCTCGCGCCATCGGAGGCAAGGACCGCGCGCGGGCGCCTAAGAGGCGCCATCAAGAGAACGGGCGTCAAGGCCATGCGCCCCACGACCGACGCGCGCCATCGGAAGGGACAGTCGCCGCGCCGCGCCCCATGCCAGCGAAGATCTCCGCGCTCTGCCAAGCGACCCAACTGGTGATCTAGCACCGCTGAATTGGCGCACCCAGGACGAGACCCACCAGCTCGACCACTGCGCAGCATCACCACGGCTTTCCCTCCACCTACCTAGGCTCCGCCCGCGGAGATCGCGCTGACATCTGGGGAAGGCGACCCGCGCGCACGGGCGCCCCCGCTCGGCGAACTGCGCCGCGCGGGGCCCGCCCAGGTCTACAGAGATGTCGCGGGCGAGGCAACCCGCGAGCACTGCGCCATGACTCCGACGGGGATCACCGACGGCACGGGCAACGCACGCGCGGGATGCGCACCGGCACCGCAGCCGACGCTCATCGAGAGACCGACGAAAAATGAAGCGCCATTGCAGCCACCGACCGCGGCCAGCACCCACGACAACCCCTTCGCAATCCACATGGGGGACCACGACGCCGCCAGTCATGGCCGCGTCTTGTGCCGTCTTGGAGGCGTCTTGGGCCGTCCTGGGGCACTCTTGGGCCGTTTGGGGACTCTCTTGGAGGCCTCTTGGGCCGTCTCGGGGTGACCTTGGGGGCCTCTTGGGCCGTCTTGGCGCGTGGGGAAGCGGAAGCGGCGAGAACGCCAAAATTCTTGAAAAACGTATGGGAATCCATGATTTTTGCCTCTTGGGGTTCTCGTGGGAACGGTCCTGGAGGCCTCTTGGGGCGTCTCGCAGGCCTCTTGGGCCGTCTGGAGGCCGTCAAGGCGTCTTGGACAGATCATTCGGCGATTCGGGGCCTTCTTGGATCGTCTTGGGGGCCTCTTGGGGCACTCTTGGCCCGTCTTGGGGCTTTTTTGGCCTCCTGGATTCCCTGGGGGGGCGGCGTAAAAACCCGCCCCCCCCCCCCCCCCCTGGGACCCACCCCGGGACGCCCCCCCCCCCCCCCCCCCGGCGGGGAAGGGATCAAAGGGAAGGGGCTTCCCTTCGATTCAATTACGACGTTGCTCAATTTCGCTTTGGACTGGCACGCTTCAGGAGGAGGCCCTGGGAGAGGGGTAGAAGCAACGACGCCGAGTCCTCCCCGCGCGACCCGCCCATCGCGGGCGCAGCCGTCGCGCCCGCTCCAGAGCGACCCCGACCGCCGCGCCGCAGTCGAAGGTCATTGTGGGCTTACCCGAAAAAGGACGTCGCTCAGGTATATTGATAGAAATTCAGCATCAACCAGTCCACGTGGAAGCCCCCACAGAATTGGAGATTCAGGTCACCACGGAAGAGACGGACGCCCCGCCAGCGAAAACAGGAAGACCGTCAGGCCCCGAAACGAGGAGTTCTGGGACTACGCGCGTCATCAGGGCACGACCACCTTACAAGACTGACAGGGGCGAGCCACCGCCGCCTGTCACCAGGACGTCCACCGACGAAAGAAAACGAAGCCATCGCCGTCGCCCCACTGGAGGAGGCCCACCTGCCCCATACCAGAAGATGTACAACAAAGACAAGGACTTCCGCAAGAAGATCATCCCCGCCGCCAACCAGACAGATAAGCCACCGAGACCCCGCGTCATCCATGACCAACATGCACAAGTGGTCGGCGACATCGCGATGGACCTGATCAAAGTGGCCATCAACATATGGGCGACCATTGACGAACTATGGGACATCGAGAACGGCGCCGACAGGATGGCCAGGACGAGCCACGACCCAGGATTCGCACCGACGCCCCAGCACTTCAGACCACAGACCAACGAGCCCCCGGCAGTTCGCAGGGGGCGCGGGGTGAGGACGCACATAATAGGCAACCCACTGGGCGCAAAGGGCAACGGGCGCAAACGCACCGACATCATCATGCGCGGCGCCATCGAGTGGGGCGACGTCCACGACCGGGCATCTCCGCGCACCAACGAGGTCCTCGCACCCGACGGGCAGCCAAACGTCGCAGGACCGGCGACCAATAGGCACGCCCAAGAGGCAGAAAAAGAACGCCTTCGCGCCCTGAGCGCCGCAGACACAAGCGGCGCCCACATCGGCGGCGCCGCCGGCATCGACGGCGCCGCCGCCAAGCCGCCGCCTGACACGCGGCCGCCAATGGCAGCGCCCCAGCCCTCACGTTACAAGGCGAGGCCCATCGAGATGCCCCAGAGGCGCTAGACGCCCCCGGCAAAAGGGGGCCGCCCAACGCCATTGGGCAATACCAGCTACGACATTCACACTGTGACCCCAGCGCCACCTGGCACGCGACGGCCCACGACGCAATCAACCGCCACCAACGCGCGCGGAGGTCAATGCGGACTCGCTACAACGCAGCGCAGCTGACCACCACGCAGGTTATCCACATCCACAGAGAGACAACAAAGAGCAGACACTCACGAGCGACACCGACGCCCACCAAACAGCCACGCACAACCAGCAACCCGATGCGGCACAAGAAGGGCACGCCCATGTCAAGCACTTCTTCCAAATTGCCCTCGACCACGCGGACGGCGACCTCAACCAGGTGCGCAAGGCTCATAAGGCCAGAAACCAAGGACATACGATTGACCATCAACAAGGGCGAGCATATCCACGTCACCTGGATCCAGGAGCAGCTACACGTTTATTGGTATCCAGGGGGTTCTGAGCATGGACCACTGACCCAGCCACGCACTAGTCCCACGAGCCAGGCGAGGGCCCCGATTCTTCGCGGCTCAACACAGAGGAGATGGACCTAAAGCGCCTACTGGAGTATGAAGCGTACGCGGCCAGCATCACCAACGCCGTCGTCAAGCTGCGCCTCGCCGTGGACACGGAAGCCCAGGACGAGTACCGCAGGGCAGCCTACAAGATCATGCACAGCATCGTGTATCACGAGAGAACCAAGCGCCGTCGAGCCAACCAGAACGAGTCCGCTGCAGACGCAGGGCCCAGCGACGGCAGCACTGATCATCACCCCGAATCCTACCAATCCGACGCTGACAGAAAATACCTCCGTCCGCCGTGCTCCCACGCAAGGATGGGCGGCTACCGAGCGCGGGGAACAGCTGCACTCGCAGCGGCGACCCCAGCAGGCAGCTCGGCAACTCCACCCCCCTGCGCCGCGCTGGCCGCAGAACCCGCGAAACGGGCCACCATCGCCGCGAGGAGCACCAGCATCACCTCCAAACCTCGCATCTCAGCGTTACACCTCCCAGCTGCAACTGCCCACGCGGAGCGCGGCTTTCCCATGCCCCCAGCAATTTTGCACCATAGTCGGCAATGTCAACTTCCAGCCTCTCATCTTTCCACCCGACCCAACCTACGCACGCACTGCATACGGCGCAACTCGCTCACTGCAGCAGCACCAGCAGCAGGACTACTCACACGACGGGACCGCGCAAGCCCTCCCGACCTCCAACGGCGGCGCCTCCAACGGCTTTCGACGACAGCCACCAAGAGCCGTCTTGAAGGGCCCCCCATGACCTACACCGCCCGGCTGGCCTGACCACTTGGCGGGTGGGGGGCCCTTGGGGGTGGGGGTGGGCATGGATATCGCCGAGCGCGTTTACGTCCCAACCCGCTTCCTTTTTCCTGTGCTACCACTTCGGCCATCACATGGATTCCAGCCTCAGACGGGGCTTGCCGCGGCCGCTTCGCCTCCACTTCTTTGTCACCTCCAGGGGCAGAGAGCAGGGAGGAAGAGGAGGTGGGCACCCCTCCTCCCTTCGACCCCCCCCTTCGGCCCCTCGGCCCTCCCCTCGGCCCCCTCGGGCCCCCCCTTCGGCCCCCCCTTCGGCGGACCATCGACTTGCGCCCCCCTTCGGCCCCTCGGCCTGCCCGCCCCCGCCCCTTCCCCTGTAGTGGGCCACCCAGGGGGTGTCAACGCGCTGGCGGCCCACCACCTACGCTCCCCCCTTGTCCCTCCTCGCTCGCTCGGTATCTCGGTTCGCCCTCTCGTCGGCCCCCCTCGCGTCGCCCCCTTCCTCCCGCCACCCCGTTCGCAGGCCCCGCCAACGGCCGCCGAACAGTTGTTCCTAATGCTCCCCCCTCGCCCACCTGGATGGTGGGGGGGGGGCACGGAAGACAAGGGCCGCCAGTTCGAGCTCGAGGAGGAGATGGAGTTTGGACGGGGGGGGGGAGGAGGAGGAGGAGGAGGAGGAGGAGGAGGAGGAGGAGGAGGAGGAGGAGGAGGAGGAACAGGACGAGGAACAGGAGGAGGAGGAGGAACAGAAGGAGGAGGAGGAGGAGGAGGAGGAACAGAAGGAGGAGGAGGAGGAGGAGGAGGAGGAGGTGGAGGAGGAGGAGGAGGAGGAAGAGGAGCTGGCCGAGGGGGGGACGGCAGGCCGAAGGGTGGTACGCAGGGGGCGCGCAAGCGGCCGCTAGGAGCGGGGGAGGGGGCTTCGGCCGCCGCGAGGCACGTCGACCAGCGGACCGCCGCGGCCGCCACCGAGCGCCCGAGGCCCGCGAGGACCGAGTCGCCGCCCGCGGGCGCCGGCGCGCCAGCCCGCCTCCTCGCCCGGGTGCTTCAACCAGCGTTCTCTTCAACCCACTCTCGTCCACCCTCTTCCTTCCTCCTCCTCCTCCTCCTCCTCCTCCTCTCCTCCTCCTCCTCCTCATCGTCCTCTTTCGTCGCTCGTCAACATCATCATCATCATCATCATCATCATCATCATCATCATCATCATCATCATCATCATCATCATCATCATCATCATCATCATCATCATCATCATCATCATCATCATCATCATCATCATCGTCATCAGCATCGTCATCATCATCATCATCATCACTGTCACCGTCATTACCATCATCATCATCATCATCATCATCATCATCATCATCATCATCAGCATCAGCATCATCATCATCATCATCATCATCATCAACATCATCATCATCATCATCATCATCATCATCATCATCATCATCATCATCATCATATTCATCTTCGTCCTCCTGGTCCTCCTCATCATCAGCAACATCAGCAGCAGCACCATCATCAGCATCATCAGCATCATGTCCCTCTTGGGAGGGTCGTGGGGGCCTCCTGGACCGTCTTGGGGACTTTTTGCACCGAGAGGGCGAGTACACGAAAACTACACAAAGCATGTGTTCGACGATCTGGGCTGCTTGTCGTGGGCGGGCCCTGAAGACCTCCAAGACGGCCCCCGAGAGGCCGCAGCACAGGCCGCTGGGGCCATCTCAAGACACCTCGGAGGCGTCCGCGTCAAGCCGCGCTCCCTGGGCCCCGGGAGAGGTCGCGCTCTCCCTTTTGTCCCTCCTCGCTGTCGTTGCGCGGGCCGCATACACACACTTACACACGACACGCTTCTTGCAACGGATCGCCTCCGACATGGCTTCTGTGGCTGGAATTCGTTTTTTTTGTGGCTTGAAAAATAGACGGAGGGAACGAGTCGAGCTGATAATCCGAGAGGCTGTGCCGTCAGCCTCCGTTCCACCAGGCTGAGCCTTACTGCAGTTAGTTGGGACAAGCTGTCGCCATTTTCGAGGGCTGCTGGGGGGGGCCAGCATCGTGGGTAATCGCCGCAGATCCAGATTAGACATCGCCATCCCTGGGAGGCTGCGATCTGTGAAACTGTCGCCATTTTCAAGGGCTGGGGGGGGGGCCCAGCGGAGTGAGGCACCACCCAGACAGACCTCGCCATCCCTGGGGGGCTGCGATCTGCGAAACCATTGCCACTTTCGAGGGCTGCTGGGGGTTCAGCGGAGTGAATCACCACCCAGACTCAGATTAGACCTCGCCATCCCTGGGGGGCTGCGCTCTGCAAAACTGTCGTCACTTTCGAGGGCTGCTGAGGGGTTCCTCTGGGCGTTGTCGCGGGCCGCCCGCAGACCTGGCGGCGCGCCTTCGAGCGTTTAGCTCCCGCACTGAAAAGTGCAGGAACGTGGCAGGGAAGCTTGCGGGCAAGCTAGGCCTCGTTCGCTTCTTGCAGTAACAACAAGCAGGCTTATTTCGTCGAGCGCCGCGGCGTCATGGCGCAGGCATCGCTGCAAAAAAACACACTTTTCGGTTTCCTCCCGTCACTTTCGTCGTCGTCCTCTGCCCTCTGCCACCTTCCCTCTGCTGCTGCCGCGCTGACGGTTCGGCCCCCCACACGTCCTTTTCCTGCCCTTCGTTCCCGCCCCTTTGTCGTCCTCAAGCCTGGGCCCTCGCTCTTCGTTCTTTTGTTGTTGTTTTGTGAACCGTGCCACGTGAGCGCACCCTATTTAGCTTGAACATATAACGGCGCCTGCACTGCCATTGTCCTGGCAAATTTGGGCCACATCCTCTTGTCACTTGATGCAAATGGGTCGGGTACGTCGCAGGGTAATTTTTCTAGAGGCCTTCTTGGGCTGTCTTAGAGGCATCGTGGGGCCACCCTTGGCCGCTTTGGGCTCTTGAGGCCTTCTTCGGGGCCTCGCGGGCCTGGCTTGGAAACCTTTTCTGAGCTCTCTTGGTAGGGGCTGTCTACGGCCGGCGGTGTCCTCATAGATCTCACGGGGCTACCCAGGGTTACCGCGAGGCCGAGCGGCACCATATCCACGTGGAGTCAACGCTGACAGATATGATATTGCGACGCAGGCGCCCTTTTTTCCATTGCCTTTGGTTCAAGGCAGCTGTTTGGTTCGAGATGTTGTTCCTTGTGAAACTCGACAAAACCTGTTGGTCGCTCTTCTTTCTCAAGCGTACGGTGCGCATAATGACGGCGAAACAAGTGGTCATTGTCAGCTGTCTCTCCTTGGCCCTTCGCAGGGGAGGAGAGTTACCGACCGGAGTGACGAGGGCACAGGCAGTCAGCAGACGATGAGGATAGACGATGAGGAAGGAGAAGGTGGCGCTTTCGCTCCCTATTGCGCATCAGACACACGCTGGGGCCATGTGAATGGTTAAGGCCCTCTGGGACGGTCCAGTCGGCGGGGGGGCGGGATGTCAGATATAGCGCCATTCCTTCCTTTCCACTATCTGAACCCCCTCCCCTCTCCCATCTTCCCTCTTCTTCCCTCTTTGCCGACATGCCGCTCTCATCCCCCACGGCCCTCCCCCCCTCCCAGGCCGCGGGTCACCCGCGACGTCGCGAGCACAATCGCGTTCCGCACTTCGCGGATCGGGCAGAAAGGGTGCCCTTTCTCATCCCCCTCCCCCTCAGCTCCCCGCCCCCTCCAGGCCACCCTCCCAGCGCGCACCTGCCCGCCGCGCACCCTTCCAGCGCACAGTTGCCCGCGCGCCCCCGCCCCTCCCCTTTGGCAGAAGCAACGTCCCCCCCGCCCTCCTCGGTCGTGAAACCTCGGTGGCGCCCTTCGTGTGCGCACCCGCTCGCGCGCAACGCCCCCCGTACTGCAGGAGCAGTGCGCCGCTGCCCCCCCCGCCCGCCGCGGCGACGGCCGAGCCGGCGCGCGGCGACGAGGCGCGCACCACGCCGCCAGCTGCGCTCTGACACCCCGCGGGGGCGTGGAGCCAGCGGTGGCCGCCGCTCCCAGGAGGAAAACGGGCGGAGGAGGGATGGCGGACGGGCGCAGGATGGAGGACGGAGGGGAAGGACGGACGGAGAAGGAGGAGGAGGAGGAGGAGGAGGAGGAGGAAGAGGAGGAGGAGGAGGAGGAGGAGGAGGACGCATGACGGAGGAGGTAGAGGAGGACGGACGGAGGAAGAGGAGGACGGAGGGAGGGTGCTGGAAGGAGGGGCAGAACTCGAGTGAGGGGGGGGTCCGGAGAGAGCAGGATGGAGGAGGAGGGTTGGGGGGTGGCAGGAAGGGGTCCCCCGCCGGTCCTGCCCCTCCTCGTTCCCCCCAGCGTCCCCCTCCTCTGTCTGCCCGTCTCTCGGCCGTTGTGTCCATGGGCCTTCCTTCGACCCTCCCAGTCCCTCGCCGTCCTGCCCCTCGTTCCCCCCCGCTCCCCCTCCCTCCTCCGTCCCGCCTCTCATCCGCCCCCCTCCCCCCCTCGGTGCGTCGACGCTGCGGGCAGTCGGTGTCCTGTCTCGACGCTGCCCTCGCATCCGTGGCGGCCAACGCCGCCAGGGAGGGTGGAGTTCCAGGCAGCTCTCAAGCAGAAGGCGGCAAGAAGACGCATACGTCCGCCGCCCCCCCCGCCCCTCCCCCTGCCCCCTCTCGGTCGCCACCTTGGCTCAGCCCGCCGCGCGTGCGCAGCTCGGCGCAGCCAGCCGCGCGCGTGCGCAGCCGCCCCGGGAGCCCCTGGGCCGGAGGCACCTCGGCCCTGCGGCGCGGGGCCTCCGCCGCCCGACGCGCCGGCAGCGAGCGGCGCGGCGGGGGGCGAAGGAGCGCCGACGGCATCGCGCGGCCAGTGCGCCCAGAGCTCGGGGGCCGGCCGCCGTTGAAGAGCGCCTTCGCGGGGGGAGCGCGTGGCAGCGCGGGGGCCCCCGCAGTCGACACGGGCACCAGGAGCCCATGGCTCAGACGGTGGCGTTTCGACGTGAAGGGGCTCGTGTGTCTTGGTGCCGATGCCGGCCTCGTCCCCTGCCGCAGCGGGGCGTGCCGCCGTGCAGCTCTCGCGGGGTCGCGGCACGCGGGCGGCAGATCCTGCTTGCTGCTGGAGGCAAGGGGGGCCTCTTGGCCGTGGCCCCACAGTTTGGAGTTGGCGCGCACAGCGTCCCTTTCCCTCCCTCCTCCTTCCCCCTCCCTCCTCCTTCCCCCTCCCTCCTCCTCCTCCTCCTCCTCCTCCTCCTCCTCCTCCTCCTCCTCCTCCTCCTCTTCCTCCTCCTTACCCTCCTCCTGACCCTCCCTGTTCCTCCTCTACAATTACACAATACGAATACTACTCTCCTCCGTCCCCTGATGGCGTGCGGAAGATAGCGGGCACCCCTCCGCGTATTGTTTTTTACACACAGGATTTCCCGGATTTGGGTTTTCGCGTGGGTTTTTGTTTTATGATGTTCTCGCTGAGGCGCTGGCTTCATTTTCGGGCTTCCGCTCGTTCCGAATCGTGCTCCCGCTGCAGCGCTGGCCTCATTTCCGTGCTTCCGCTCGTTCCGAATCGTGCTCCCGCTGCAGCGCTGGCCTCATTTCCGCGCTTCCGCTCGTTCCGAATCGTGCTCCCGCTGCAGCGCTGGCGTCATTTCCCGTGCCATGCCACGGCATGCAATGCAATGCTGCAATGCTAGGTCGCGTTCCGCTGCGCGATGCCATGCCTTCAGCTGCAGCTGTCATATCTAGTGCTTAAGTGCCACGTCATGCTATGCCATGCTACGCTTTGATCTTCAACGCCATGCTATGCAATGCTATGTTCGGGGCCGCTGTGCGATGCCATGCGTTACGTTGCAAAGCTTTGTGATGCAATTCTTCAGTACGCCACGCCACGCCATGCTGTGACATACTACGCTTTGCGGTGCTCTTCTACGCCATGCCATGCCGTGCTCTACAGTGCATCGCGTACCCTTTCGGGATCATTGCCTTGCTCGACATCCGACTGTGCGAGTAGAGATGGGATCTACGCCATGGTAAGGGATGGGAGTGAGGGGTAGGATGTCAGATATGATGCGAGCGCACCTAGCTTGCCTCCTCCCCATCTCCCTCTCCCTCCCCCTCCATCCCCCTTTCCCGCCCTCCTCCTCCTCCTCCTCATCCTGGTCTTCCTCCTCCTCCTCCTCCTCCTCCTCCTCCTCCTCCTCCTCCTCCTCCTCCTCCTCTTCTCATCTCGACTCTCCTCCTCCTCCTCCTCCTCCTCCTCCTCCTCCTCCTCCTCCTCCTCATCTCTTCTGTTTTCCCAGCTGGTACCCAGATCGAGCTGAGACCTTCTTATGTCCCATGCCTATGCTCCACCACCACTCCTCAGCTTTCCCCTCGCCCTTCATTAAACGTGCCCCCCTCTCCTTCCCTCCCCTCCCTCGCACGTCTGGTGCGCCGACTCCCCCCCTCATCTCCCACCGCCTCTAAAACCGCTCTGCACCCCCCCTGGACCCGAGTAATTACTCAGGCGTTCGCGTCACGCCGCGCGCGCATACGGCGGGGTATCCAGCAAGCTCGCTGAACCCCCCATCTCCCAACTATCCCTCCCTCGCTCCGTCTCCTTCTCCTCCCAGGACGAAGGATCACTTGTCATTGTCAGTATCATTCGCTGTTCGTATGAGTGGTACTTCATTCAGGTAGAGCATCATTATTGTTATGCCCGATCCTCCTCGTTCTAAACGCCATCCTGCTGTTGCTACTCCTCATCATCCTCATCTTTGCCATTGTCCTACTCGTCTGCTTTCTCCCCCTCCCCCTTCCCCTCGTTCCCCTCCTCTTCCTCCTCCTCCTCCTCCTCGTCATCCTCATCCTCATCATCAGCTTCCTCCCCCTCCTCCTCCTCATCCTCATCCTCAGCCTCATCTTCCTCCTCCTCCTCCGAAGGCCTACGGCCTGGTGAGGCCTTCTCAGCTCTTCTAGGAAGGGAAGCACTGGAGTTATTCGCCAAGACTGTTGTGGATTCTCATAGTGCAGAACAGAATGCCACGACGTGTGAAAGGTTATAGCGTTATAGCTCTTTGCCGGGTGCCGTTCAGACGGAGCAGGGGTTGTTGTCGGGCTGCACTTATGCGTGGTGCATGTGGGGGCTCTTCACTCTGCGTGCCTTGATGCGCATCAAGTAAGCGCCTCGGTGCATGATGTGTTCATCTAGCACGCTGGTCCGAACCCTGACGGGCTACAACATATTGGCAAACCAGCGCCACTTTTTCAAGACGACTCCTACATCTGCGGATCTCGTTTCAATATGGGGAAGTCGGGAGCCGTGGCAGCACTGGCTCGTACACACAAGGTGCTCAAGCGCTTCAAGGGTTGGCTACCGTTGCGAAATTGGATGCGGAACCTGGGGCATGATACCTTTGGAGTACGTCATTGCAGGAACCAGGAGCAGACCAAGTTTGCACAGCTCAAGGCAAGGAAGCAGCGCATATCCATGTTCGCAGGAGTTGCTGGCAGGAAGGCTTCCGTCCTATGGAAATCGGGAGCGCAGCCAGCGGTCGGCCATGGCACAGGCGTTTCAGGCATGTTGGACGAAGTGCTCAGGCAGACGATGTCAATCTCGGCTACTCTGGTCGGCACCCCTGCCAGAGCATCGAACACACCATACTTATATTGTCAATGGCGGCTACGGTCTGATCCGATGTTCGATGCCACGACTTCAATGTTGTGGCGATTCCAGTGCTCTTTGGTGGGATAGACGTGCACTTCCAAATTCACCATGCCTGGGTGGAACTGGCACCACGAGCACAGTCGGGCCTCGCCCGGGCAAAGGTACGCGGGCCCTTGGGGGCAAGCTGGCTCACCCTCAGGCGTGTTGGCTGGGAGTGGCCATCGCCGCATCACTGGCGCGGCGACGTGGGCGGCGTTCATGTTTAAAAGATGGCGGACACGAAAGTTGGTCGATGCGTTGCCTCCGGTCGAGGACGACTGGGAGAGGGCACAGCGCAACGGCCTGAAGGAGCTCTCCCCGTAGCAAATCGGCGCCGTGCGGGCGCTCTGGGCAGACAGGTGCCACACAGCGGCGAGGACGGCGGCGAGGGACTAACAAATCGTGTTGGCCTGCAGCGCGTGTCGGTCACCAGGCGGCATTTGTGGGCACGCGTGGGTTGATTGCCCAGCGCTGCCCGAACTGGATTGAAAAGACATGTTTGGCGATTGTGAGGTGTTAGCAGGTAAGTTTCAATCACAGCGGGGAGCGTTTCCCGCGCTTGCCGCACGCCGCCAGCTAGGGCGCGCAGGGTATACCACATTGTGCATTCGGTGTGAAATGCCGCAGTTGTCTCTGTCTCCGTCTCCGCCGCCGGAGATCCCAGAGCTCGGTGAGTGGGGGGATGTTCGCGGTGCCTGGGGTCCCGTGGCGTTTGGGGACGCCAGTGCCCCGGGATCGTTGCGGTGCCCGAGCTGCGCAGGGTGGGCTGGGCCACTGCCCAGCTC